TTATGATGCTTGGTATGTTCCCTATTCTTTTTAAGATCTAAGATGGCCTTCGTTAATTCTTTGATACTTGATTCCATTTTCCCTATTCGATTGTCTTGATCTTGATTTTGGTCAACGCGGCAAATCTTTAAAGCACCAAAAGCTGAAGCAAGGTCATCCACGTCTGATTTGGTTATGTTTGATTCTTCATTTATGGATCGGGTGGGGTTCCTCACTATATACTCATTGTCCTTACTATATTTTTCTACCTTCAGAGCCCACTTCTTCGCATCATCATATGTTTGGGGCATTGCATTTCAACTCTTTCTCTAAAAGGTTCACTTAACCCTTGAACATACCATTGTCTTTTTTTTAAACCTCTTACATTATTCTTCACAGCTTCTGCATATGCGTCGAACCTGTTTGTGTATGCCTTGATAGTATCATTTGGTTTTTGCTTCACACTCTTTAATTGCTCCAACTTTTCTTCTACATCACAGGATGCTTGAGCTCCATCGATGATTGCAGTCTTTAGGTCAGCTCACGTTTTCTTAATCTTTATTTGCTTACGTATCCAAGGCTTTAAGTTATCAGAAACATGGAGTCTTATTACTTGTCGCATTTTGTCCTCGTTCCAGTCCTTTGATACACCATACGCTTCGTAGTCCTCAAGAAATTCTTCAATATCTTCGTTATCACGGCCGTGGTATATGGGTTTGGTTGAATCCGAGGTGCCCATCTTGTTACTGTTTGACTAGATATTACCTTATAGTATTGTAGTTCTGTTTTGCTTATATGTGAATGACTCTTAAAGTTTTCTTTTTTTTTTTTTTTTTTTTTTTTTTTTTTTTTTTTTTTTTTTTTTTTTTTATCGTTAACAGAGGCTGAACCTCGCTTATACTATTGTTATTATTAACCTTAGAAGTCCTTATTCTCCAGTGTAGGAGAGGTGATGGTACTAAAAAAAAACTCAAGGTCAACTTTCACTGTCCCTAATTCAAGTACGAGAAGACATAATTTCATGTGAATATGTTGCACTTCCAACACAAGAGATCTTTCGGTTTGTCTTATTACAAGAGCCAAGCTTTGGCTTATGTTATCACGTTGGTTCTTAACTACAAGAGGTCTTTCGTTTTTGCCCAGATTCTACCTTGTCGTGCAGGTTAATAAATGTAAACGTTCCACTTAATAATCCAGCTTTGTTCGTAGGAACTTTGAAGACTTATCAACATTCGTATAATGACAGATAGTCAGTTTAAGGTCTTTATTCATAATGCACGTACACCCACAACAACGTCCACAACACTCGAGGAACCACGAAGCTATTGGGCACCAGGACCAGGTTATATTCGTTATAGTATGCTCACAAGATCATTATAAAGAAAAGGTATTTACTTTATTTACAAGACTAATGTTGTTTTGGCTTATTAAGCCCTGCTCTATTTATACGAATTTGACTTACTGAAACTAAAAATTGGTGACTACATATTTTATGCAAGATTGCACACAAGCTACAATAGACTTTACATTGATGACGCATACGTTATGCAAAATAGGATTTATACTATAACAAACTATTTATGTACTACATTCTGATTTACCCGATTTACGCTGATTACCCTGCCCATCTTATTGAATTACTCGATCATGTGGTCACGTGATACCATGAACACAGTTCACGATCAAAGTCCAAGCCTATAATGTCCAACATTCCACAAACATAGTATACAGGGTACTAGTCCACAGCACGACAACTACTGCCTCTCCAACAATCTCAATATTATAAGCATAACTGAAACTAAGATCCCTCAGGAAAATGCTCAAACAAAACTTTAAAAATCTAAAGACTTTACCTACTATTGGTTCTTTACAGTATCAAAGCAAGCACAGCAATTATGATTAGAAACTGGTTAAAATTACATGTTCACAAAATACTTACATTTCCTGGCTATGCTGTTGCAATTGACATTCTTTTCAAATATGACTTAAGATTCAGAATCATATCACCTTATCTACCTTGTGACAATTTACAACTTCATCTTAAAGTTCAAAATGCAGTTATTTAATGGCTACAAGAAGCAATATCTAATAATTTGCAACCTATTATTATGGGATTTTAATGACTCTAGTAATAACATACAATCTACATCTATTAAATATAAGCTACTTCAATTCCTTCAATATAACAACATATATGATCTGGCAGAACATACCTAATCATCTATAGATACTTGAAACAGTAGTAGATACTCCAGCTGTATCACCTACATATGGGCCAACCACTCAATACTTCATTACCTTAACTCTTATTATAATGATGATTCTAATTCTAATACTAAGAGTGATCACTAAATCCTAATCTCATCATAGGTTTTTCTATATGCATTTTCAGGCAAACATCATATCTCTACTAGAACACATAGAAGAGTATTTCTATACAAAAATATGAATACAGAACAATAGCAACTATATACTGACCAAATTACTTCAAATCTCTAATCAAACAACACACCACTAACTACAAACACCAATGAA